TCACCTGCATATGCTGGGAGGCGAGGGGAAACTACTCTATTATAGACCTGCCTTTCCTATCTTCCATTTTCCTCCTTCACTTCTACCTCCCCCCCCCCCCGCTCTCCCTCCCCTCTCTTTCGTACTCTCTCACTTCCGGAGCCTCTCCATCCTTCCACTTTCCATGGAGTATCTGTTCTATAGTCTCCTCCTTAATTCACCCCCCCTCGCTCATCCTTTATCCCTCACTTTTTTATTATTTCTCTAGCTCTCCTCTCTCTCTTCTCTCTCTCTTCTCTCTCTCTCCTCCTCTCTCCTCCTCCTCTCTCTCTCTCTCTCTCTCTCTCTCTCCTCTCCCCTCTCTCCTCCTCTCCTCTCCTCTCTCTCCCCCCTCTCTCTCTCTCTCTCTCTCTCTCTCTCTCTCTCTCTCTCTCTCTCTCTCTCTCTCTCTCTCTCTCTCTCTCTCTCTCTCTCTCTCTCCGGACGTACATGTAGATTGATCTCTGGATTACTAACTCTATTTCGGTGTTATGTGCAGACGTTCCTTTGGTAGTGAAATTTGGCGTGTTTTCCCGTAGATTTTTGTTGTTAAGTTTTGAAGTTATTTCCCAATTGTTTGACTTTCATGTCGGAAGTTGTTAAGAAAAATGGTAATGAGCGAGAGAGGGCGAGCGAAGGAGAGAGAAGGTGCGAAGAAGGGGTAGGTAGGTAGATAGATAAATAGGGAGATCGATAGATAATAAATAAATAAATAAATAGATATATAGGTACATAGATATATAGAGAGATGAATAGATAAATAGGTAGATGGATGGGTAGGTTGATAGATAAGTAGATAGAGAGATAAATAGATAGACAAATAGATAGACAAAAAATAGATAGTTAGATAAATACATAGATGGATATAAAGAAAGATAATTGGATGAGTAGATACATAGATGGATGTGCAAGTGGGTATATTGGCCTTATGCCTGTACAATATAGTATTCTGAGACAAAGACCCAATTATTAATCCTTTAACTATATCAGTGAATCAAAATGCTAGCTGTCACCACTTTTTCTTTTAAATATCATATCGAAATTAAGGAGAAAAACAGAAACTCTTTAATCTTATTATTTTTATTTTTGTTTGAAGTCAAAGTATTTATGGAAATCAAAATTCGAATTAAAATTTAATTATTATATACCGTACTAAACTTACTAAGAGAACAAGCTATTCAATCTAATGATCACTAATTATCTATAATTTGTGGGTGAGTGGTCATTATGATGATCCGGAGAAAAAAAAATGCTGTGTTTAAAACTTATTTCAAATATTATTTATACAACCGATAATTGGTATGAAAATTGAAGGTAAAATTGCTCTTGTATTAACCATCCTTTCGAACAAGGTATTGCTTTCAAGGAGACAATACCTCTCTCGAATTCTTGGTACTCATGCATTCCCTTAAAAAGGTCATATCTCTTCTAGATTATTAATTCTAGAACATTTTAGTTCAAAGATTTCATCATGCCGCGGGCTGGACACGGCGTTGTGTTTACAAAATTAGCTGATTAGCATTTACAGCTTGTGATTGGTCAAGATTCCCTAAGAGCCGCCTGAAACAGCGGCTGTGATTGGTCACTGAAGATCCGACGCCTTAAGTGACTTACGGCGCTGCGGGATTTGAGGTATAAGGTATAAGGCGCCAGAAAAAAAAAACGTTTGTGTACACGCGGCTAAGTCAGAGATTCGGCGCCTTCAACGGTCTGTGAGTTGAGTCGCCGCAGGACCCTTCAGGCCTCCAGCGCGCCTTAAGTTTCAGGCTCTTTTGAGTACCCGGCCCCTGGTCTCGGGAACAGACGAGGGAGAGCCAGAAGATCGTGTCAGAACAAAGACACAAGAGTCGGGAACAGGCCGAGGAAACCGTCGGACACCACACGCATCCAGCTGAGTTCCAGGCGGGAGCAAAGTCAGGCACACAATCACGTGACCACAAACTCTACCCAGTCTAATCTCCGACAGTACAGTTTTCAAATACAAAGGTAGATTAGTGTCCCTAGGGATGGTGATAATAAGGGCGCTCCTTGCCTTGTGAGGGAAATCGGAAAGTTGAGTAATCCTTCAGGAGGTTTTGAATCCGGCGACAAGTTCCAGCTGCTGCCTCCTTTTGCCATGACATTTGATATTCCAGTTTATCTCAAGCATTCTTTACGACAGCCCTGTGCCCTGTACTCGAATTCTTTTGTGTGTTTCTTTTCAATTACCTCTTTGCTGTTATATATATATATATATATATATATATATATATATATATATATATATATATATATATATATATATATATATATATATATATATATATATATATATTATATATATATATATATATATATATATATATACATACATACATATATATATATATAATATATATATATATATATATATATATATATATATATATATATATATATATATATATATATATATATAGAGAAGCTCGAACGCTTTCCTCAAGAGGAGTCAGCGTCGTCCACTTGTTTCCTGCCAAGGAGGTTCTTCCGTTAAACTTTTCTTAAGGACGTCACTCCAAGGACGAGCCTCTGGTTCGGGACAGCCATCGCTCGGGAATGTCCTTGTGTTCCCTCGCTTCGGTGGGGCTTTCTTGGCGTTGCTTTTTTGTGTTCTTGTTTGTTGTTTGTGTTTATGTCTTCTTGTTTGTTTTTTGTGTTCTTGTTTGTTGTTTGTGTTTATGTCTTCTTGGTGTTGGTGTTGTTTTTTGTGTTCTTTTTTTTGTGTTCTTGTTTGTTGTTTGTGTTTAAATGTGTTATTGTCTTCTTGTTTGTTGTTTGTGTTCTTGTTTGTTGTTTGTGTGCCTGTCTTTTGAATGTTCTGGTTTGTTTTTTGTTGTTGTTTATATGTATATGAAAATGGTAAGATTTTTTTTAAGATGAATTTTTTTGGTGATTTTTGTGTTTCATGTAATTTTCTTAATCAGTCTTTTCATTTCTCTCTTCAAAAAAATCTTTGCTTTTAAGTTTTCGTCTACTTATCTTTCTTTGATGTTCTTAGTTGTGTTAATTTGGTTAATTTCATCTTTGTTCTCGTAATTGTATGTAATTTCTCTGTTTTTTTCTTTAATTTGTTTCTATCCTTTATAGATTTTTTTCTGTATTCATGGATTTTTTTATGCTTTTATTTTCATTTCATTATCGTTTCCAGTATTCTATTTTTTATTCCATTATTCCTCTCTTCGTTTTCTTTTACTCTGTTCTCCTGTTATTTCTTTGTTTTTATTGTTTATACTGTTATTCTCTTTCCTTTCCCCTTTTCTCAGCTCTACTTTATTTTATCTTATACATTCCGGCCTTTTTTTTCTTTATTGCCATTTTTTTTTGTCAAAATTCCCTTATATTTGTTGTTCTTGTCTTATCTATACATACATACATACATACACACAAAACACACACACACACACACACACCACACACACAACACACAGATTATTATAACCTAATATATATATATTAAT